TTTTTTTTATAAAAATCAAGCAGTTACACGAGAAATACTGCATTCTATAAAACTTCTTTGGAGCGTTATGAGACTTTGTATTTCGAAAAGTATTAGAATAAGATAAACTCAGAAAATTTTAAATCGAAGATGTAAAGCCGACCTTTAATAGTTCATGAGTTTGCAACGGACTTTTAAATTATTATAAAACTTTGAAATAATTAGGTATAAAGCTGCTATGAAGAACATGTTAGATTTTAAATAAGAATCATAATTTATTCGAGTTTCCGATAAGAACTTGTATCATCTTCAGGAATATAGAGAGAATATAAAACCCTCTACATATATATAGTAACATCAATTAGAGAAAATAATATCAACAATTCGAAATATTAATACTGTTTCATCTGTCTGTTCTCTTGTTTCTTTTAATTGATGTAACTACATTTATGTAGACTGTTGTATGTTTTTTCTATATCCGTAAAGATGATAAAATTTCTTATCAAAAACTCGAATAAATTATGATTTTTCTTTAAAATCTCACATGTTCTTCGTATCGGTTTTCTACTCAGTTATTTACAAATTAAAACTTTTAGATAATTCTTAATATTTCAAAAAGATCTTAGAATAAGGAAAGAAATAGTGAAGTTATCGCTGCTTCATTCTTATCAAATCAGTATTTAATATGAGATATTGACTTAGATAGTTGTATTGTTACTTTTAAGTATTTTCGATACACTATGTGATATATATTATCAACTATTATTCATTTTAGAGTTATTAGAGATGTATAAACATCGTGCCATGACTACTGTGATAATAGTACATAATAATTATGTACCGTAAGTGGTATTTTTACTCTTCATATTTAACTATTGATAATTATCATATTAAACAACCCAATAGTATTTGAAGAATTAGATCAATGGAAAAACACTGTTAATCATCATTTTAATTAGTATACTAAGTTTTCTAGATCATATTTCTAAAACTCTCGATTAAAAAGTTTCATTGTATGATGCTTTTGAAACATCTAGTATAACAATACATAATCATATACATATTTGTAAGCTATTCGTTTAACATTAAATCAATATTATAAAACTCTCAGTGTGTAATGAAAGAATTGAATAAAATGAATATCGACTTGAAAATTTTTAACGATGCTTATTAAAAAGGACTATGATTGCTTAATTATTTAGACCAATCATGTAGTATTTTATCTGACATCAGTAGTTATGAATCATGCTGACAGCCATGTCATCAGTAACAGCTAGCGTTTTCACAAGCCTTAAGACATTTAATGTAAATATAGAAAACTAATCATGGTATTGAAATTACGTGAACTTCTAATCAAACAAGCTGCTATTCATCTACATAATTTTTCGTCTGAATCTTGTCAATGTCTTACAGCAACACAACGTGAACGTATACTTCGATGGCTTGCTTCACATGATTGCCTTTCATTAAATCTAATTCCATCTATAAGACAAAATCTTCTTTCAATTCCATTATATTCTCTTGAGTTTTATAAATGTAATCAATTAACAAATGATATGCTAATTGAATTTGCTGAAGCAAGTCATTTTAGTCGATTAAAATCACTTATTATCCATCAATGTACTCAAGTACAAGGTAGAATGAAATAATTTTGTTATCAAAAATTTAAATATATTTTGATTTAGATTCGGGTATACTTGCTATAACAAAAGGACAATTATCACTTGAATATGTCGCATTAAGAAAATTAACTAATCTTACTAATGCAGGTCTTGATGGTATACATTCCGCATTTTTAAAAGAAATTGATTTTCGATGGAATGATAAAATTCAAGATAATGGAATATTAACGATTGTTTCAAATAATCTTAATTTACGTACTATTCGTCTTGTCAATTGTCATTCATTAACAGGTCAATGTGTTGTTTATATTGCACAAAATACAGCTGAAAAACTAGTTTGTTTCATTCATATATATATATATATTCAATATAATTTTTGTTTTTTCATAGGAAATATTAGACATTGAAGGTTTAAAATGTTTAGATAACGAAGTATTTGTACATCTCGTTGATTATTGTCCAAATATTCGAAGGTAAGAATTATTTACAAAATAAAATAAAATAAATTCTATTTCATTCTAGTTTAAATCTATTTGGTATTATTAATTTAGATGCTGATGGTTTATTTACAGTAATCAAAACATATTATTTATTTTGAAAAATTTATTATTCTATATTTAGTTATTTGTACGATCAACACGTATGGTAGTATTAAATTTATCATATACAACTTGTTTTTTACAAGAACCTGTATCTGATTATATTTGTTGTTTACCATTATCACTTGTTGATTTATGTTTATCCGGTACACAAGTTTATAATACAAATATTTTAATACGAGCTTTAACAAGACTCGTAAATTTACAACATCTTCGATTAAATGGTCTAGCAACTATAACCGATGATGCTTTAGATAAAGTTTGTTTATTATATATACATGCTAATAAAACTGCTTTTTTTTAATAGATACTTTGTGTTATTGGATCTCGGCTTAAAACACTTGAAATGAATGGTTATATAACTGTTGGAATATTAACGGATCGTAGTGTTGAACATATTGTTCGTTATTGTAGTTCATTAGAACAATTATCGTTAAATTTACTTAGTTTTACATCAACACTTGATTCTTTATATGACTTATTTAGTTCATCAAAACGTGCATTACAATTACATACTATATCTTTAAGTTCATTTCGAAATGTAAAAATTATTCTATACTTTGAAATTTGAATTTTTTGTTTTCTATTTAGATTAATGAACGCGTTTTATGGTGTTTAGCTGAGAATTGTTTAAATATTAAATTATTAGAACTTTCGGGTATACCATGTGTTAGTGATGCACTTATTTCATCATTAAAACATTGTACGAAATTAACACATTTAAATATTAAAGGATGCAAACAAGTAAATAACTGAAAAAACAAAAAAAAATTTATTTTTATAAAAAAATTATTTAGATAACTGATATATCTATCTGTGATCTTCTTGGTGTATGTCAATTTATTTCACTTGTTCTTTCTGGTTGTTATCAATTAACCGATAAATCTGTACTTGCTATGGCTCATACACAACCATTTCTCGAAGAAATTTATATATCTGGTTGTATAAGGATATCACCAGCAACTGTACGTTATCTTCAAGATAGTACTATTCGACGTTTGTACATTGATCATAAAATACCTAATGCATTGCCTGATGCACTTATGGCACGGAATCTTGACACGGGTTTATTTGAACAAGTTAGATAAATATGGCAAACAATTTTGTTTTTTATAATTATTTTTGATGTTATATGTATTGTCTATCTATTTACTATACCGAGTGAACTTGTTTTTAAATGACATAAGATTTATTTTTCTTTATAAAAAAATATCTATTTGTTTTTAAGATTCTTTTTTTTCTTTTTAATATATTCTATACATGAATTGATTGTTTCTCTCAGATGTCATTTAATCTTCGTTAAAGTATTGATAGACAAATGATAATAGTATTCGAATATATTTTATAATTATAATCATTGATAATACTTATTTTATGAAAACCTATAAGTATATAAGGCACAGCATATAATGATTAGTTGTTTTATCATCAAAATTGAACCTATAAATATCGATTTGTCCTTCAATTTCAATGATTGAATATAGAATAATTATAGATCAGTCGATAGTATACATAAGTTGTTATCACATGCATCTTGTTTTTTAATATTAACCCTTTGGCTATCAGCAATGTAAAAATACATCGGTAGTATATTTTTTAACCGCTCAAAAGAGTTCCTTATCGATATTTTAGTAATATATCTTACAAGATTCATATCGTATCATTTCATAAGGATAAAATCTTTTCTCAATGGTTAAAACTTATACTAATACAATCTTTAACCGATAAAGATATTTGTACACATATATGATATCGCCGGGAGGGAAATAGTTAATTAGGTGTGAACATCTTTCTAATATGTTTTCTCTGAAAACTCATCTAAAAGGTAAACATATGATCTTCTAATATTTTGAGCAAAATTAACAAAAGATTGACGTCATCACAAAGATAAAATAAACATCTTGCCATAAAAAAAGAAGCTATATAAATATTGATTAATTGATGTATTAGAACTGTTTTTGTCTATTTCTACTCTAATTTTCAAGCAGAGTACAAAGACTCGATATACATATTTCACTTAACCACGTGTTTATATATGTTTGCTTTGTACAAACGAAAAAACTAGTGATATGTACTATTCACATTCAATCAGTTTGTTTTCTTGTTTATTCTAGAGAAAATCAATTAAGGAGAAAATTACAGTTTTACTTTAAAATATTTCATATACTAGTTTATCAATAGTTATTATTTTTTGATTAAGTCATTTATTCTATCTCATTATCTTATATATAAACATTTTCATAAATAACATAATCATTCGATTATTTCAATATTATATTCTACTTATGTATTGTAATAATCTATGATATTCTTTAAAGTTCATTATATTGTTCATATAATTTCTTATTAGCATTACACAAATTTGTTTATTTAACATTTATTCTATTTGTAAATTTTTAAATGGTTAATATATATACTAGCGAATACTCGATATCAGATTTTGTTCAGCCAATCATTGGTGGTGATACATTGTTGTGATTATAATTATGAAATTGTCTAATAAATTAATTACATCTATCTATTTTTTTTTTGAAAGGCCTCTTTCTATAGCACGTAAATGAATAATGTACACTGTTACTAGGCGCCTACATAATTTCGATTATTTATTCACGATTTTGATTACCTTCTATATCGAAGGTCTTTCGTCGACTGAAACAAAGACAAAGAAGAAGAAAAGCCTTGCTATAAATGTTTATGAGTGTGAAATGACGCGTATCGTTAATGAATGTAGACAAGAAACAATACTGTGATAAGAAGTGATGTTGAGTATTAGTGTATACCATTATTAGATTACAGAAAAATGCTGTCATCGGCAGTGAATCCAATCAATGGTGGTGATTCAACAATGCCTGGTGATTATGAACCGTTTTTAAGAGGCAGACCACGTGGTGCGCCTCTTTCAAATTCTACTTTACCAACAGATTTATCGATTCGCCCGAGAACACCATTTCCACAATTATCTGCAGCTCCATCAGCGGGTGGACTACCAATGAGAACACCCTTTCCACAATTATCTGCAGGTCCATCCGCGGGTGGACTACCGATGAGAACACAATTTCCTAATCTCCATATGGTACCTCCACGTCGTAGATCATCAATGAGACGACCACATATGCTACATGCACGTCATCCTATAAGAATTCGTCGTCCTAGACGAAGGCCACTTACACCAGACATTGTCATTGATCGTCGATCACACGGTCATTCATCATGGGGACGACATGGAGTGATTAGAATTCCACTTGATAATCGTGCGACACTTGGTTTACGTGGACCACCAAAACGTGTACTAGAAATTGAACGTGTTCGATGTCATCGAAGACGTCGATCAAGATGTTACGACTATGAATATGATGATCCTCCACCACCACCACCACCACTATTAGCAGTATCTCAACCAGCTTCAATGGTTACTAATCCAGTTGTAAATGTTTGTTTTCCATCTAATAATACAAATACTGTAGCAACATCAACATTACTTTCAAATCTAACTCCAGAAATGCTTAATAACTTACCTAAACAAACAGTTCATTTAGAACCAATACACATAGAAGGTAGTCACGCTGATAAGAATACAGGACTTCATACTGTCGTATTTCCTGCTGAAATAATCAATCCTATTGATGGTACTTTATCAATAATTCAAGCTAATCCTGAAGCCAACAATAATAATATTTCAAATATTTCAAATATTTTACCTCCTATTGCAACATCGATTCAACCTCAATCATTGAATTTACCAACAGTTATTGGCACACCGATTGCATTAGGTGGATCACCAGTACGACCTCCGATGGCTGCAAATCCACTAAGGCAACGATTTCTTGAACTTTTTCAACGTCTAAATACATCACGAACACAACCGCAGATACCAGCATCAAATCTTCCTATAATTCAACCTGCGGTATCGAATATGTCAGGAATCAGTCCAACAACTAACAGATCAAGCAATCTACCCGCTAATTCACTAAGAAATCCACCGAACATCTCAGAATTCAATCCAATGGGTAACAGATTAAATAATCTACCGACTAATCCATTAAGAAATCCACCGAATTCAGGACAATATTCTTCAAATACTGGTCCTTATCGCTCATCAAATATAACTCCTTATCAATCAACAAACATTACACCATATCGTACATCAACTTTTACACCGTCGAGTCGAGTAAACAATATGACTTATCTTTCTCCTAGTGGTGCTCCTTCTAATTCGTCAGATCTCGGTCCATATCGTCCAGCAAATATTACACCTTATACTAATATATCCAATCGATCTACTAATAATCCTCTATCACAACCATCTTTTTCATCTAACTTAACTCGTTACGCTTCGGCTGGATCATTAGCATCTACTAATACCTTTACTACTGGTTCTCCTTCATCATCTCCTGTACATAGAACTACTGGCAATTATGCAAATTCATCAATATCATCAACTCCTAATCAATCGAGTAATTCAATGCCGAAGTCCATTCTTCGTAATGGACCATCAGCTAGTTTTTCAAATACTACTTATACTAATTTAAATCCACCTAATACGTTCTCTTCAAATGGTGCATTTCCTAAGACAACAAGATTTGATTAAATTTATTCTCTTGTCAAAATAAGTCGATGTCTTTCTAATACAAATATATATGAAATTTTGATAAACCATAGAAGCAGCTATCGATTATTTCTTTATTTTTACTCATTTTTCTTTTTATTAAAAACATAAGTAAAAATCATCTCAATAACATACATATGTATTTACAGCAAATATATATTGACAGAAGATAGATTTCGAATGATTTAAGTTGATCTATTATTGCTAACATTTGTTCTGGTTACATACAAATATGTGAATAATATGAAGACGAAAAAAATACTCCTGTGTCACAACAAAATAAAAAAAAATCTTCCGTTAACTATATATATCAAATCAATCAATACAATTTTGATCTTAATTGAATGGCGATTAAAAGAAATTTTTCTCCTAATATACGAACTAAAATACATCGTACTGATGGAAATACTTTACAGAATTATATAACTCATAATTTTCATATACAAACTGCTCCACCACTCTCACTTCAACAATATGCCCGTTCAATTGCTACTCTACCTGGTAATGCACCATGGCAATCACTTGGCATTTATCATCCACCTACACTTCATTCTTATTTATCACCAGAAACACGAAATCAATCAAAACTACCTGAAATCAAACCATGGATTTACTCTTATAGACGAAAATATTCTATACCAAAATATTCACTTAAACCTTATAAAGATAGAAGATCTAGACCACCTGAACCTGTTTGGCATCCAATAAGTCCCTACATAAATAAACGTCCAACATCACTTAGCCCTGAGAAACGATGGCAAAAACGTATTCATGAACCTATTTGGCATCCAGTAAGTCCTTACGTAAATAAACATCCAACATCACTTAATCCAGAGAAACGATGGCAAAAAAAGATTCATGAACCTATCTGGCAACCAATCGGAAGTATACAATATAAATCTTTACCTTATTTTGATCCACCTAGTTTAAGATGGTCACTTCAAAAACTTTTAAAATCTACGCCCAATCTATAAATGAAATCTTCTTATTCATCTAAGAGTATAACAGCACTGTATTCACAAAAAGTATTTATGCTTATAAATTTTATTTACTAAGAAAATAGTAGATAAAAGCTATATAGTTTTTAATAAACAAAATTGATGAAACCAAATCTTTTTTTTTCTCGATTTAATCTTATAAAATCAATGTTCAAAATCTGTCATTTTTGGTAAAAAACAAAGATTAAAACAAGGACTATTTTCTAGTTTCGTAGCTAAATCTTATAATAATAAAGTAATATGATAATAAGTATCATATCTTAGTTCTATCAGAAATCCTACTAAAAACATGGCTGATATCGATCTGAAAATATAAATATCAAATAACATTTTTTGTCATATGATTGATCGATATTTCCATCGTTGAAAATAATCATTTGTTTTTACACTCAAATAACTATAAATCGTAATCGCATTTCTACGATCAAAATCTATCTCATTATTAAACCCATATAAAGAGAAAAAAACCTACTATAATAAGATTTCTAAAACCTTGATTATATATTTATTGTCAATGTTATATTTAACTAATTATTGATGCATGTTGAATAAATATAACTAGTTACATAGATTGTAGCTTATCATTATTATGTAATTTCGCTTGCGATTCTATCTATTCTCTTCCAATTGAAATATCTCATATGTTATTATTATTATATTCATAGAGGAAATTAGATGCTCTCAATCATTTCCAATTTTGTACTAGAAATAGACGTCATAAGTGTGAATAAATAGTCATATTCAATATATTTTCGCGTTCAAAAATAATCATAAAATTCTCTAACACAACCGTATATTTAATTTCATATATATATGAATATGACTATCATGATAAGTATGTCTGTCTGTCTCGGTATCTTGAAAAATAACATTGATTGTTGAGATGAATAGTAGGCAAGCTATTGAATATGTTTTTGTTATCTTTCCATCTAGTTGTCATTGTCAATACTTGAAGGGCCTTGTTTCGAATTAGACTCACAACAATGTTTGTCTTTTCTCTTCTTCGTCTTCTTGCTTTTATTTGATTAATATACGCAGTCATACGCAAAATTGTACGATATTCTATTGAGAAAGCGTTTATATTACTTCGAAATGCTACTTGATAAACATCTATATGTATAATTCATTCATCTTAAATTGATTCAATGTCATAATCATCATCATGTTAAAAGTATTAATTGATTCTGTTTCTATTCAACTGTGAATTTTAATTTAACAGAAAAATGATTAGGTAGTTGCAATTCTCTTTTAATCGTATCTGACTTGTTCTTTTTTTTTTACTTATATTAATTATTAATATTCTAAGCTAAATGAATCTTTCGTCAACAACTGTTCTTTATATACACAATAATACAAATGGAATCTAATTACACGTTTGAAATAGTAGAATTGGCAATATAAGTAAGCCTCCAAGGCTATATTTTGATTGATATATATATACATATATATATATATCAACAAATCCATGTTCTATGTAGATCTCAAGGTATTCATATAAAGAATTCAAGTATATTATGAATAGAGAGAAGAAGAAGAACAAAAAAAAGTATTATATACGATCAAAGCTAGACTAAATCAAAATGATAGTTTTGACACATTACATATACATATGTATAGGTGTATCTGTGTCTTGAGAGCGAGAAAGATAATGAACATATGTACATAAATATAAAAGAAAGATACTTAATATTCTTATCTCTGTACATCATCAAATATCTAAATAGAAAAATAAACCTCAATAATAGTTACTTCAATTGATTGACATCCGGCTTACTCTATGCATGAACACTTTGCTTCCACATGATTGCATTCAATCTATAGGAACTCAAAAATGATAGGCAAAAGGGAAATGCACTATGTCATCGAAACATGCTTTGCTTTTAAAATATGCTTTCTTCTATTTTACTTAATTAATAATACTTGTTTCATTATTATATGACCTTGTATATCCTCTTCACTGTTTCAAAGAATTGTTCAATTTAAAAGAATGAACCATTTAATAGGCTGTCGCTATGATGAACCAGATGGTTACTCAAAAAAAAAACATTTGATGAATAAATTGTTTAGCATCATAACAAGATGATTATATTATATGTATAAAATAGAACGGATGAAGTTTGAGAGCCATATTTTTTTCTTTATCGAAACAGATGTACTTGTATCATTAGAAAATTATATAACCATTATTGATCAACAACAATTAGAAATCATCTACTACAATAGTGTGCTTATTCACATCTAAACGAAGGTAATTGCAAAAAAAGAAAAATGCGCTTAATCGAACATATTGAATAGAACTTTATTGATGTTCATGCACTTCATTGATCCTTTTTATTTATACTGTTCACTTATGTACAGATCAACAAAATTGATTCTTTCTCTTGAGAATGATCATGTCGTAATCGGTTACTACACATTATTGTTGATAATAAAAAGAAAATATCTATCTTCACATTCTCTAGATTAGAGAGATTGGATAAGTTAGATGAGTTGACATATAAAATTATTCTTTGAGAAAAATAACAACCTATCATCACAATCCAAACTTGTAAGAAAGACAGAAAAAAGAATTCTTATAATCGACCATACTAATTATGTAATAAATGATCGTCTTATGTATACGAGAAATCGTCAGCAGCCCTAAGCCTAATCGATAAACGTAAAACAAAAAAAAAAAAAAAAAAAAAAAAAAGAGGACGGCGAGCAATGGGATGATTGGCCTCGAGATTTGCCGAGTGTATAAAATGAAATTACGCTAAACGTCATCATCAGTTTTATTGAAATTGTGCAATACTACATGAATAGACTAATAAAAGTTATTTCTCTTTTGATATAAATATTTTACTACATGCATGTGTTGAAATCATAATTGAAGAGAATAGGTTAATACATCATTGAACATCATCGTTTTTCTTTATTTCTAAACTGAAAAATCATTTAAAATACATTTGACATTTAATTCATTGTGTCTCTGCATACATTCGTCTATAAGTATATATATACTTATATAGATGTTTGTGCGCACTCGGGCGTCGGTCAGCTTCTGTCTGTCCCTTTCTTTTTTTTTCTCCTTTATTTCTATAGATACTATCGCTCAGAGTGGTATTATGTGAGAGAGAGAGAGAGGGAGAAAGGAAATTTGATGATGATGATGTCTATTCTATGGCATTGTATGGAGAGGAGAAGAAAAAGAAAAAAAAAAGAAGGAGAATAAGAAAGCTCAAAAATCAGTATAGAAGTAGCCAACAACGAACATTATCATCTCCTTTTTATTCTAGTCTGTCACAATCGACAATGATCGATAAATTATTAGTATTTTTTATTTTTTCATTTTATCCATTTGTTCAAACAGTAAAAGAAGGTAATTAAAAAAATCTTGAAAATTACATATCTAATATATATATTTTTTTTTTCGATGTTTATTTAGTTGTTATATTAGATACACGTCAAGCTCGAGATTATTTAAATTGGTATAAAATAGCATCAAATGGAAATCTAAATGATGGATGGGGTGAATTAAGTTTTGAGGCAAAAATGTTTCCAACACTTTTATTATCATCATCAACATCAACATTATGGCGTACACAATATGTATGTGATATAACATCGGAACGTCGTGTTGATAATTGGTTACGTTCACCATATTTTAAACGTCAACAAGCACATCGTATTGAAATCGAACTTGGATTTTCTATCCGTGATTGCTCAACATTTCAAACACCAAATGAAATACGTTCATGTCGTGAAACATTTGAACTTTATATACATGAAAATGATTATGATGATAATAATCGTGTATGGTCATCATATAAATTAGTTGATATGATCGCTGGAAATCGTTTTACATCAAATAATTATGGTACACAAACATCATCAAATCGAAACAATTTAACAGTTAATGTTAAAACACGTGGTATATCTGTTAATAAAAATGGATTTTATATTGCATTTCGTGATCAAGGTGCTTGTATATCATTATTATAT